TACACTAACACAAGAAGAGAGAGGACTCAAATAAATAAAATCAGAAATAAAAAATGAGACAAACCAACTTAGACCACAAAAATACAAATAATCATTAGAAACTATTATGAACAACTGCATTCCAACAAATCAGAAAACCTAGCAGAAATGAGTAGGTTCCCGGACGCATAATACCAGATTAAATCATGAAAGATAGAAAACATTAACAAGCCAATAATGAGTAATGAAAGTGAATCTATAATAAGTATTTTCCTCAGAGAAAAGCCCAGAATCTGATAACTTTATTGCTGAGTTTGCCAAACATTTAAATAAGAACTAACACCAATCCTACAAAAACTCTTCAAAAAAAAATTGAAGAGGAGGGAATACTTCTAACATAGACCAGCCTGGCCAACATGTTGAAACCCCATCTCTACTAAAAATACAAAAGACTAGCTAGACATGGCGCATGCCAGCTTCTCGGAAGGCTGAGACAAGATATTTGCTTGAACCTGGGAGGCGGAGGTTGCATTGATTTTGGCATCTACATTTATCAATGATATTGGCCTGCAGTTTTCTTTTTTGTTATGTCCGTGTCTGGTTTTGATATCAAGGTAATGTTGGCCTTGTAAAAATAAGTAATTATTACTAATGTTGCCTAGGCAACAGGGTGAGACTTCCTCACAAAAAAAAAAAAAAAGAAAGAAAGAAAACAAAAAGAAAAAAAGAAATCAAGTAAGTAATTTTATTTACAAGAGCTGCAAATAATATAAAACCCCTAGAAACCGATTGAGTTAAAGAATTGAAAGATCTATACAAAGAGAACTATAAAATACTGATGAAAGGAATTGAAGACACACAAAAAATTGGAAAGATATTCCATGTTTGGATTGAAGGAATTGATATTGTTAAAATGACAATTCTACTCAAAGCAATTTATAGATTTGATGCAATCCCTATCAAAAAACCAATATCATGCTTCACAGAAATAGAAAAAAAAATCCTAAACTTTATATGGAACCCCAGAAGACTTATACTCAAAACAATCCTCAGCAAAAAGAATAATGCTGGGGGCATCACGTTACCTGACTTCAAAATATTCTACAAAGCTATAGTAACCAAATAAGCATAATACTGGCATTAAAAACAGACATATAGACTAAAGGAATAGAATAGAGAACCCAGAAATAAATCCATATGTTTACAGCCAACTCATTTTCAACAAAGTTTCCAATAACAAACAATGGGGAAAAGACAGTTTCTTTAATAAATGGTGCTGGAGAAACTGGATAACCAACACACACAAAAATAAAACTAGATCTTCACTTCTCAACTTACATAAAAATTAAATCAAAATAGATTTCAGACTGAAGTCAAGACCTCAAATTGTGAAACTGCTAACAAAAAACTTTGGGGAAATGCTCCAGGATGTTGGTCTGGGTGACAAATTTTTGTGCAAGAGGCAAAGTATGCAACAATAGACAAATAGGATTGTATCAAACTAAAAAGGTTCTGCAGAGCAGAGAAAACTTGGACAAAGTAAAGAGACAATCCACAGAAGGGGAGAAAAAATTTATAAACTATCCCTCTTTTAAGGATTTAATAACCAGAATATATAAAGAGTTTAAACAATTAAATAGCAAAAAAAAAATTGATTTAAAAATGGATAAAAGACCTGAACAGACATTTCTCAAAGGAATACATACAGATGGCCAACAGATATCTGAAAATAAGTTCAACATTACTAATAATCAGAGAAATCAGAATGAAAGCCACAACGAGATATCATTTCACACCAGTTAAAATGGCTTTTATCCAAAAGACAGGTAACAATGAATGCTGACAAAAATGTAAATTAAAAGGAATCCAGGAATCCTTATACATTGTTGGTGGGAGTGTAAATTAATGCAGCCAATATGGAAAAGTATATGGGGGTTTCTCAAAATATTAAACATACAATTTCCATATGACTCAGCAGTTACACCACTGCGTATCTGTCGAAAATAACAGAAATCAATATATCAAAGGGATATCTACACTCCCATGTTTATTGCAGCACTATTCACAACAGCCAGAAATGGAATCAACCTAAGTGTCCATTAACGAATTAGTGGATAAAAAATATATATATATACAAATGAAATATTATTCAGTCATAAAAAAGAATGGATCCTGTCATTTGTAGCAGCATGGACAGAACTGGAAGTCATTATGTTAACTGAAATAAGCCCAAGCACAAAAAGACAAACATGCATGTTCATATATGGGAACTAAAAAAGTGGGTCTCATGAAGCAAGATAGTAGATTGGTGGCGACCAGAGGACAGAAAAAGTTGAGGGGCAGGCAAGGGGTAAGTGAGGGGCAAGTGAGGTTGATTAATAGATACAAGCACACATTTTGATAGAGGAAATAAGACCTAGTATTTCATATATCAGCCATGTGACTTGTTTATAATGTATATTTCAGAGTAGCTGGCAGAAAATATTTCAAATGTTTCTAGTATAAAGAAAAGACAAATATTTAAGATAATGAATATCACAATTACACTGATTTGATTTTTTCAAATTATGTGAATATATTAAATTATCACAGGTACCCTAAAATATTTACATCTATTATAGATGAATAAAAGATAAAATTGAGAAGAGAACATAAAAAACAAATAATTAAGACACAACGCACAATTCTTATGGGAATAAAGAATGGTTGAACAAAAGTAGTGACTTATGTGATGGGAAAATGTAAATAAATTTGAGACATACTGTATTCATCAGGATTTTCAGTTAAAAACAGCGAAACCTAGTCTAGTGAGTTTAAGCTGAAATGTATAGAAGATGGTCATGTGAACAAAAATATCAAGTTTTGATGCTATGCAGCCTGAAGAAAACCGAGGTAGAGGAAACTCAGTCAGGAGAAATGTTCTGTCATTCTTTATCCTTTTAGATCCGTGATGCTAGAAATTCTGCATTAGCAGTCCACAAAAAGCCACACAGCGCTGCCATTAAGTTTTGGCAGGAGATACGATACTCAGTGAGTGTGACTACTGCTTTTTTTTCTATTTGGTGGCATGCAGGTCACATGAAGAGACTCAGTTACAAGAGAATCTGGAAATATGTAGTTCTATCATTTTCCAGTTTCTAACATGCAAGAAGGCAAGATCAAAGGGGGTTGGAAATGATATTTAATGAGACAATTTGCTATTGGTATTGAAAAGCTAAATTTGATGAACCTGGATAAGTATTGTGAGATATAAGATGAAAAGGAAGACATAAGATGAGAAGGAAGACAGTGTCCAGATCATGATATCCTTGGCTCTTTTCTTTTGCAAATAGTGGTGAGGAAATACGGGGCTGGAATAAGGTTGGGATAAAGGAAAATGAAAAATAAGTCCTGATTTGGACAAGCTAATGTTATGGTATCAGAACCCAGTGGAGAGCTCCACTAAAATCTTATCATATGGTTCTGGAGTTGAGCGAAGAGCGAGGAGAGCAGAAATGATAGAGATTTGTGAACCTTCACCATGCGGTGAAAACGCGGAAAAAAGGAAGAGGTAGAGCAGGCTTAGTGACAAAGGAATATAAGCAAACCTGAGTAAGACTCTGGGACATTGTTAAGGGGCTAGCAGAGAAACACAAACCTGCTATAGAGAAGTACTAAGCCTAGGGTAGGAGGGAGAGTTTAAAAAAGGCAAAAACATAAATGATGAATACTGACAAATGCTATAAGAAATAATTCAATCAAGTAAATTTTGGAAAAGAACAATGGATTTAGCTACAGCAGACAATTCTAACCTCACATATCTCATATGAGTCTGGGAATTTTATAAAGAAAAGTTTAGTTGTCTCACAGTTTTGCAGGCTGTATAGGAAGCATAGTAGTTTCTACTTCTGAGGAGGCTTCAGGAAACTTCCAATCATAGCAGGAGGCAGAGGGAGCAGGCATCTCACATGGCAGAAGCAGGAGCAAGGGAGAGAGGGAGGAGGTGCCACACACTTTTAATCCACCAGATTTCACAAGCACTCATTCACTATGGTGAGAACAGTACCAAGGGGATGGTACTGAAACATTCATGAGAAATCCACCCTCAGAATATAATCTCTTTGCCCTAGGCCCTGCCTCCAACACTGGGGATTACATTTCAACATGTGATTTGGGTGAGGACACAGATTCAAATCATATTATCTTAAATGCAAATGACAACCAATATTTTTCTTTTTGTTTGGAGATACTGTATGAAAAAATATGAAGTCAGACTACAAATAATAAAGTAGAATTTAGGTGGAAATTTAAGGCAATGATAAGACATATCTAGAGAGTTAATAATTTTGAAAAATTAAAATGTTTTGAAAACATTAAATGGCACAACAAATATACAGCTGGACACACATAAGAACAGAGCAAAAAAAGTGAAAACTAACGAAAAGTTACAAAGTTTTAGTACTGTCGTAACAATAGAGAAGAAAATATGGAAAGGCACACATTATTTGACAAGACTTTGACAATAGCAAATGACTATCATCAACAGCCCAAAATATGATTAATCATTGTGAGGAGTAATCATGAAAGAGACTAAACAAAATGTTTTTGGAACTTTAATAAGAAATATTTTCTGTAGCTGTTGCCAAAGGTTGGTAGGAATTTCCAAAATATACAAAAAATAAATTAAAACATAACTCAGTGACTGGCAAGATGGCCAAATAGAAACAGCTATGGTCTGCAACTCCTAGCGAGATCAATGAAGAAGGTGGGTGATCTCTGCATTTCCAACTGAGGTACCTGGCTCATCTCGCTGGGACTGGTTAGAGAGTAGGTGCAGCCCATGGAGAGGGAGCCAAAGCAGAATGTGGCGTCACCTCACCAGGGAAGTGCAAGGGGTCAGGGAAATCCAACCCGCCCCCCCGGCCAGCCAAGGGAATCTGTGAGGGAACGTGCCATAAGGAATGGTGCATTCAGGCCCAGATACTACACTTTCCCCATGGTCATCACCACCCACAAACCAGGAGATTCCCTCCAGTGCCAACACCACTAGGGCGCTGGGTTTCAAGCACAAAACTGGGATGGCCATTTGGGCAAACACCAAGCTAGCTGCTGGAGTTATTTCTTTTTCATACCCCAATGGTGCCTGGAACACCACTGAGACAGAATAGCTCACTCCCCTAGAAGGGGGGTTGAAGCCAGGGAACCAAGTGGTCTAGCTCAGCGGATCTCAATCCCACAGAGCCCAGCAAGCTAAGATCCACTGGCTTGGAATTCTCACTGCTAGCACAGCAGTCTGAAGTCAACCTGGGATGTTCCAGCTTGGTGAGGGCAGGGGCGTCTGCCATTAGTCAGGCTTGAGTAGGCAGTTTTCCCCTCACAGTGTAAACAAAGCCACCTGGAAGTTCAAACTGGGCAGAGCCCACTGCAGCTCAGCAAAGCTGCTATAGCCAGACTGCCTCACTAGATTCCTCCTCTCTGGGGAGGCCATCTCTGAAAAAAAGGCAGCATCTGCAGTCAGAAGCTTATAAATAAAGCTTCCATCTCCCTGGGACACAGCACCTGGGCACAGCTTCGGCAGACTTAAACATTCCTGCCTGCCAGTTACAAAGAGAGCAGTGGATCTCCCAGCACAGTGCTTGTGCTCTGCTACCTCCTCAAGTGGTTCCCTGATCCCTATGCCTCCTGACTGGAAGACAATCCCAGCATGGTTCAACAGACACTTCATACAGGAGAGCTCCAGCTGGCATCTGGCAGGTGCCCCTCTAGGATGAAGTTTCCAAAGAAAAAGACAGGCAGTAATCTTTGCTGTTCTGCAGCCTCCACTGGTGACACCCAAGCAAATAGTGTCTGGAGTGGACCTTCAGCAAACTCTAGCAGACCTGCAGCAGAGGGGCATGACTGTTAAAGGAAAACTAACAAACAGAAAGGAATAGGATCAATATCAATAAAAAGGATGTCCACACAGAAACCCCATCCAAAGGTCACCAACATCAAAGACCAAAGGTTGATAAATGCACGAAGATGAAGAAAAATCAGTGAAAAAAGACTGAAAATTCAAAAGATCATAATGCCTTCTCCAAAGGATCACACTTCTTGCCAGCAAGGGCACAAAACTGGACAGAGAATGAGTTTGATAAATTGACAGAAGTAGACTTCGGAAGGCAGGTAATAACAGAATCCTCTGAGCTAAAGGATCATTTTCTCACTCAATACAAGAAAGATAAGAACAACATTGAATAAGGTTAGAGGAATTCCTAACTAGAATAACCCATTCAGAAAATAACATAAATGACACGATGGAGTGAAAAACACAGCACAAGAACTTCATGAAGCATATACAAGTATCAATAGCAGAATCAATCAAGCTGAAGAAAGGATATCAGAGATTAAAGATGAACTTCATGAAATAAAGTATAAAGACAAGATTAGAGAAAAAAGAATGAAAAGGGACAAAGAAAACCTCCAAAAAATATGGAACTATGTGAAAAGACCAAACCTAACGTTTGATTGGTGTACCTCAAAGTGACAAAGAGAATGAAACAAAGATGGAAAACAGTCTTCAGGATATTATCCAGGAGAACTTCCCCAATCTAGCCAGAGAGGCCAACATTCAAATTCAGGAAATACAGAAAACTCCACAAAGATATCCTCAAGAAGAGCAACCCCAAGACATAAAATCATCAGATTCACTAAGGTTGAAATGAAGGAAAAATTAAGGGCAGCCAAAGAGAAAGGTCAGGTTGCCTGCAAAGGGAAGCCCATCAGACTAACAGCAGCTCTCTCTGGAGAAACCTCATAAGCCAGAAGAGAGTGGGAGTCAATATTCAACATTCTAAAAGAAAAGAGTTTTTAACCCATAATTGCATATCCAGCCAAACTAAGCTTCATAAGTGAAGGAGAAATAAAATCCTTTACAGATAAGAAAATGCTGAGAGATTTTTGTCACCACCAGGCCTGCCTTACAAGAGGTCCTGACAGAAGCACTAAATATGAAAAGAAAAACCCAGTGCCAGCTACTGCAAAAACATACCAAGTTGTAAAGACCATCAACACTATAAAGAAACTGCATAAGCTCAGGGGCAATACAACCAGCTAGCATCATAATGACATGATCAAATTCACACATAAAAATATTAACTTTAAATGTAAATGGGATAAATGCCCCAATTAAAAGACAAAGGCTGGCAAATTGGATAAATAGACAAGACCCATTGGTGTGCTGTATCCAGGAGACCCATCACATGTGCAAAGACACACATTGGCTCAAAATAAAGGGATGGAGGAATATATATCAAGCAAGTGGAAAGCAAAAAAAGCAAGGGTTGCAATCCTAGTGTCTGATAAAACAGACTTTAAACCAACAAAGATTTAAAAAGGCAAAGGAAAGCATTACATAATGGTAAAGGGATCAATGCAACAGGAAGAGCTAACTACCCTACATACATATGCACCCAATACAGGAGCACCCTGTTTCATAAAGCAAGTTATTAGAGACCTACAAAGAGATTTAGACTCCCACACAATAGTAGTGGGAGACTTTAAAACACCACTGTCAATATAAGACAGATCAATGAGAGAGAAAAATTAACAAGGATATTGAGGCTTTGAACTCAGCTCTGGACCAAATGGACTGCTAAACATCTACAGAAATCTCCACCCCAAATTAACAGAATATGTATTATCTCAGCACCACATTGCACTTATTTTAACATTGACCCAATAATTGGAAGTAAAACACTCCCCAGCAAATGGGAAAAAAATAAAATCATAACAGTCTCTCAGGTCACAGTACAAACAAATTAGAACTCAGGATTAAGGAACTCACTCAAAACTGCACAACTCCATGGAAATTGAACAACCTGCTCCTGAATGACTACTGGGTAAATAACAAAATCAAGGCAGAAAAAATACATTCTTTGAAACCAATAAGAAAAAAGACACAATGTACCAGAATCTCTGGGACACAGCTAAAGCAGTGTTTAGAGGAAAATTAATAGCACTAAATGCCCACAGGAGAAAGCAGGAAAGATCTAAAATCAGCACCCTAACATGGCAATGAAAAGAACTAAAGAAGCAAGAGCAAACAAATTCAAAAGATAGCAGAAAACAAGAAACAACTAATATTAAAGCAGAACAGAAAGAGATAGAGACAAGAAAAACCCTTTAAAAAAAATCAATGAATCCAGGAGCTGGATTTTGAAAAGGTTAACAAAATAGATAGACTGCTAGCCAGACTAATAAAGAAGAAAAGAGAGAAGAATCAAATAGACCCAACAAAAAATGATAAAGGGGATATCACCACTGATCCCATAGAAACACAAAGTATCATAGGGAATACTATAAACACATCTATGCAAATAAACTATAAAATCTAGAAGAAATGAATAAATTCCTGAACACATACACCCTCCCAAGACTAAACCAGGAAGAAGTCGAATTCCTGAATAGACCAAAAACAAGTTCTGAAATTGAGGCAGTAATTAATAGCCTACCAAACAAAGCAAGCCCAGGACCCAACAGATTCACAGCCGAATTCTACCAGCGGTACTAAGAGAAGCTGGTACCATTCTTTCTGAAACTATTTCAAACAATAGAAAAATAGAAATGCCTCTCTAACTCATTTTAAGAGGCCAGTATCATCCAGATACCAAAACCTGGCAGAGAAACAAGAAAAAAAGAAAATTTCAGGCCAATATCCCTGATGAACATCTGTGTGAAAACTGTGAATAAAATACTGGCAAATCAAATACAGCAGCACATCAGAAAGCTTATCTACCATGATCAACAGCTTCAGTCCTGGGATGCAAGGCTGGTTCAGCATACGCAAATCAATAAACCTAATCCATCACATAAATGGAACCAATGACAAAAACCACATGATTATCTCAATAGACGCAAAAAAGTCCTTTGATAAAATTCAACACCTCTTCATGCTAAAAACTCTCAATAAACTAGGTATTCATGGAACATATCTCAAAATAACAAAAGCTATTTATGACAAACCCATAGTCAACATCATACGGAATGAGCAAAAACTGGAAACATTCCCTTCAAAAACCAGCACAAGACAAGGTTGCCCTCTCTCACCACTCTTATTCAACATAGTATTGGAAGTTCTGGCCAGGGCAGTCATGAGGAGAAAGCAATAAAGGGTATTTAAATGCGAAGAGAGGAAGTCAAATTGTTTCATTTGGAGATGACATGATTGAGTATTTAAAAAAAAAAAAAAAAAAACCCATAATCTCAGCCCCAAATCTCCTTAAGCTGATAAGCAACTTCAGCAAAGTCTCAGGACTTTGCACATTGATACAAAAATCAATGTGCAAAAATCACAAGAATTCCTATACACCAAGAATAGACAAACAGAGAGCCAAATTATGAGTGAACTCCTATTCACAATTTCCACAAAGAGATAAAATACCTAAGAATACAACTTATAAAGGATGTAAAGGACCTCTTCAAGAACTGCAAACCACTGCCCAAGGAAATAAGAGAGGGCACGAACAAATGGAAAAACATTACATGCTCATGGATAGAAAGAATCAATATTGTGAAAATGGGATACTACTCAAAGTAATTTATAGATTCAATGCTATCCCCATCAAGCTACCATTGAGTTTCTTCACAGAATTAGAAAAAAACAAAAAAAAAAACAGTTTAAATTTCATCTGGAACCAAAAAAAAGAGCCTGTATAGCCAAGACAATCTGAAGCAAAAACACAGATGGAGGCATCATGCTACCTGACTTCAAACTATACTACAAGGTTACAGTAACAAAAACAGCATGATACTGGTATCAAAACAGATATATAGACCAATGGAACAGAACAAAGGCCTCAGAAATAATGCCAGGCATCTACAACCATCTGATCTTTGATTAAACTGAAACTGGACCCCCTTCTTACACATTATAAAATTTAACACATTACAAAAATTAACTCAAGATGGATTAAAGACTTACACATAAGACCTAAAACCATAAAAACCCTAGAAGAAAACCTAGGCTATACCAATTCAGGACATAGGTATGGGCAACGACTTCATGACTAAAACACCAAAAGCTATGGCAACAAAAACCAAAATTGACAAATGGGATCTAATTAAACTAAAGAGCTTCTGCACAGCAAAATCATCAAAGTGAACAAGGAACCTACAGAAAGGGAGAAAATTTTCGTAATATATCCATTTAACAAAGGGCTACTATCCAGAATCTACAAGGAATTTAAACAAATTTACAAGAAAAAAACCAACAACCCCATCAAAAACTGGGTGAAGAATATGAACAGACACTTCTCAAAAGAAGACATTTATGCAACCAACAAACATATGAATAAAAGCTCATCATCACTGGTCATTAGAGAAATCTGAATAAAAACGACAGAAAGACACCGTCTCCTGCCAGCTAGAATGGCGATCATTGAAAAGTCAGGAAACAACAGATGCTGGAGAGGATGTAGAGAAATAGGAATGTTTTTACACCATTGGTGGGAGTGTAAATTAGTTCAACCATTGCAGAAGTCAGTGTGGCAATTCCTCAAGGACCTAGAACCAGAAATACCATGTGACCTAGCATTCCCATTACCGGGTACATACTCAAAGGATTATAAAACATTCTAGTATAAAGACACATGTACATGTATGTTTATTGCAGCACTATTCACAATAGCAAATACTTGGAACCAACCCACATGTCCACTAATGATAGACTGGATAAAGAAAATGTGGCACATATATACCATGCAATATTATGCAGCCATAAAAAAGGATGAGTTCATGTTCTTTGCAGGGACATGGATGAAGCTGGAAACCATCATTCTCAGCAAACTAACACAGGAACAGAAAACCAAACACCACATGTTCTCATAAGTGAGAGTTGAACAATGAGAACACATGGACACAGGGAGGGAAACATCACACAGAAGGGCTGGTGAGGGATAGCATTAGGAGAAATACTAATGTCGATGACAGGTTGATGTGTGCATCAAACTACCATGGCACCTATACCTATGTATACCTATGTAACAAACTTGCACATTCTGCACATGTGTCTGAGAACTTAAAGTATAATTTTAAAAAACAATAAAAATTTTAAAATTGCTAATGTATATATAATGGGAATGTGATACAA